TTAGTTAGTTTAGTTAGTTAGTTTAGTTAGTTAGTTTAGTTAGTTGGTTAGTTAGTTAGTTAGTTAGTTTAGTTAGTTGGTTAGTTAGTTAGTTAGTTAGTTTAGTTAGTTGGTTAGTTAGTTAGTTTAGTTAGTTAGTTAGTTAGTTAGTTTAGTTAGTTAGTTAGTTTAGTTAGTTAGTTTAGTTAGTTTAGTTAGTTTAGTTAGTTTAGTTAGTTTAGTTAGTTTAGTTAGTTAGTTTAGTTAGTTTAGTTAGTTTAGTTAGTTTAGTTAGTTGGTTAGTTAGTTTAGTTAGTTGGTTAGTTAGTTTAGTTAGTTGGTTAGTTAGTTTAGTTAGTTGGTTAGTTTAGTTAGTTGGTTAGTTAGTTTAGTTAGTTGGTTAGTTAGTTTAGTTAGTTGGTTAGTTAGTTTAGTTAGTTGGTTAGTTAGTTTAGTTAGTTGGTTAGTTAGTTTAGTTAGTTGGTTAGTTAGTGTAGTTAGTTGGTTAGTTAGTTTAGTTAGTTGGTTAGTTAGTTTAGTTAGTTGGTTAGTTAGTTTAGTTAGTTGGTTAGTTAGTTTAGTTAGTTGGTTAGTTAGTTTAGTTAGTTGGTTAGTTAGTTTAGTTAGTTGGTTAGTTAGTTTAGTTAGTTGGTTAGTTAGTTTAGTTAGTTGGTTAGTTAGTTTAGTTAGTTGGTTAGTTAGTTTAGTTAGTTGGTTAGTTAGTTTAGTTAGTTGGTTAGTTAGTTTAGTTAGTTTAGTTAGTTGGTTAGTTAGTTTAGTTAGTTGGTTAGTTAGTTTAGTTAGTTGGTTAGTTAGTTTAGTTAGTTGGTTAGTTAGTTTAGTTAGTTGGTTAGTTAGTTTAGTTAGTTGGTTAGTTAGTTTAGTTAGTTGGTTAGTTAGTTTAGTTAGTTGGTTAGTTAGTTTAGTTAGTTGGTTAGTTAGTTTAGTTAGTTGGTTAGTTAGTTTAGTTAGTTGGTTAGTTAGTTTAGTTAGTTGGTTAGTTAGTTTAGTTAGTTGGTTAGTTGGTTTAGTTAGTTAGTTAGTTGGTTAGTTTAGTTAGTTAGTTAGTTAGTTGGTTTAGTTAGTTAGTTAGTTGGTTAGTTTAGTTAGTTAGTTAGTTGGTTAGTTTAGTTAGTTAGTTAGTTAGTTAGTTGGTTAGTTTAGTTAGTTAGTTAGTTAGTTAGTTAGTTAGTTTAGTTAGTTTAGTTAGTTGGTTTAGTTAGTTGGTTAGTTGGTTAGTTTAGTTAGTTAGTTAGTTGGTTAGTTTAGTTAGTTAGTTAGTTAGTTGGTTTAGTTAGTTAGTTAGTTGGTTAGTTTAGTTAGTTAGTTAGTTAGTTAGTTAGTTAGTTAGTTAGTTGGTTAGTTTAGTTAGTTTAGTTAGTTTAGTTAGTTTAGTTAGTTAGTTTAGTTAGTTTAGTTAGTTGGTTAGTTAGTTTAGTTAGTTGGTTAGTTAGTTTAGTTAGTTGGTTAGTTAGTTTAGTTAGTTGGTTAGTTAGTTTAGTTAGTTGGTTAGTTAGTTTAGTTAGTTGGTTAGTTAGTTGGTTAGTTAGTTAGTTAGTTTAGTTAGTTTAGTTAGTTGGTTAGTTGGTTTAGTTAGTTAGTTAGTTGGTTAGTTTAGTTAGTTAGTTAGTTAGTTGGTTTAGTTAGTTAGTTAGTTGGTTAGTTTAGTTAGTTAGTTAGTTGGTTAGTTTAGTTAGTTAGTTAGTTAGTTAGTTAGTTAGTTGGTTAGTTTAGTTAGTTAGTTAGTTAGTTAGTTTAGTTAGTTTAGTTAGTTGGTTTAGTTAGTTGGTTAGTTGGTTAGTTTAGTTAGTTAGTTAGTTGGTTAGTTTAGTTAGTTAGTTAGTTAGTTGGTTTAGTTAGTTAGTTAGTTGGTTAGTTTAGTTAGTTAGTTAGTTGGTTAGTTTAGTTAGTTAGTTAGTTGGTTAGTTTAGTTAGTTAGTCTTTCCTCTTGTGTCGAGTGCGGCACATAGGGCAGAGGTCGTGACTCTCCATGCACGGCGGTCCGTTGCAATCCGTTGTGCTTTCTATCTTATCCAAGCCAAATCAATTTTCATGGATCTCCAGCCGTCTCTACTAGAAAGGGGGTGAGGGGAGGTATGGCATCCACCTCGAGTGCTAGGGGTCCTGGGTTCAAACCCCGGTGAAAGCTAAGATTTTTCTACACGGACTTCTAGTAATTTCCCCCCCCCCCCCCCCCGTTTTGTGGGTAGTAATATCATATGCACTTGTGTATTGTTGCGCATGAAAAAGTACTTTGAAGTTGGAAAACGAAAAACAGAGTAGCCTAAGAGCGCTGCCCGGGCAATATTTGGAGTTAAAAATCTACTCAAACTATTTCAGGATCCTCGCTAGTCCAATGTGGAGTTCGTGCACTGCGCTGAGATTTCTAAGACGGAGGCTTGTTAGAAGTAGAACGGAGCACTTATGGGTTACACCCGTGGGCCATGATGTTAATCAGTTGAGTAAACATACAAATACTTGTCCTCCCACTGGATTCAGATGGAAAAGGGCGAGAGAGAGAGAGAGAGATAATTCGACGAAATTGATCATTCTGCTAGTCACTTTTTTTGCGTACACTGAACTGTCAAACAGGCCTTTTATCTACAATGTAAAACAAAACACACAAAAAGGACCCTTTTCGACGCCTTAAGGCGTCTAGGGCCAGACCTATATAGTTATAGACCTATCGGCACAAGATGGGTGATGTGGTCAGCATCACGCCAACCTCCTTTACTTCCAGGGACTGCACCCAGTACCCACTCAAGGCTGGGTCGGCCTGGGAGCCAAGGTCATTTTTTAAAATAGTCCGGCTCCACTAGGGAGGGAACCCACGACCTTTCGATCCGAGCCTCTAGCCACTTCCCACAGACAATGTGGCCTGCCTTCATTGTCCTAGACTCTGCCGGGCATGCATTGGACTTATCTGTCACCTCCGGACTTATCTGTCACCTCCGGACTTATTTGTCACCTCCAGACTTATATGTCACCTCCAGACGTATTTGTCACCTCCGGACTTATTTGTCACCTCCAGACTTATTTGTCACCTCCGGACTTATATGTAACCTCCGGACTTATTTGTCACCTCCGGACTTATATGTCACCTCCGGACTTATTTGTCACCTCCGGACTTATATGTCACCTCCGGACTTATATGTCACCTCCGGACTTATGTGTCACCTCCGGACTTATGTGTCACCTCCGGACTTATGTGTCACCTCCGGACTTATATGTCACCTCCGGACTTATTTGTCACCTCCGGACTTATATGTCACCTCTGGACTTATATGTCACCTCCGGACTTACATGTCACCTTCGGACTTATTTGTCACTTCCGGACTCACAAACATTCAATTTATGACGGATGAAAGAGAGAGTGGTCTTCATCATTTGCGATGGACGAACAAACAAACAAACCATTCATTTCTTCTTTCACATATCTTTATATATTCGAAGAAACATTTAAATTTAGATAAATATATTTCTAAAGAGTTTAATAGTGACCTGCGAACGGTTTGATGGCCTATTTTTTTTAGCCTTTCTGGGCCAAAAAAAAAAAAGGTTAAGTATGATCCAGAAGGATAAAAACTTTAGACCCACTTATACTTGGGAAAAAAAAAAGAAGAAAAGAGAAGAATGTGAACTAACTGTAAAAACTGCATCTGAATCATGGACAATTCTTTAACAAGAAACAAAATTTAATGAGGTGCCAGGTCAAATCCTTTGAGGGTGATGAGCTCAACCGTAACGACATCTCCCATCAAGTGCCGACTAGCCTTCAAAAATATGTGTAGCATCATATACCTGAAACACCACTGGCGTGTACATGGTCCTGCACTCACAGCTTTTATTCTGATGGTGCGCAATAGTATACAGCACTAGCACCTTTTTTTGTCAAGCCCTACTGTAACAGACACTTGTGGTTAGCAACAGCATTTTTTTTTATTTCTAGAACCAAACAAATCCCAGGATAGACTGTAACATAAACAGCTTAAAAAGTCTATGGTTTAGCAATAGCAAGAAGATTAAAATTATAATTTTGAGAGCATGCATATTCCCTGTAGCAACATACGGATGTGAGTCGTGGACTGTCTCTCAGTCCTTAAGAAAGAGAATAGGGGCTTTTGAGCAGAAATGCTATAGAAAGATTCTTAGAATATTTTGAAAAAAAAAGAAGAGAAATACTGACATCTGAATATCAAGGAAGATTGGCTAATAAACAGCATCCTACCCTGGAAGCTGAAATATTTTGGTCATATCAAGCACCACGACGGATTGGAGAAAATTATAGCAGAAGGCATGGTACCAGGAAGAAGGGGCAGGGGCCGACCAACACAAATATGGGTTCAGGATATAAGTGACTCCTTGAGTATGAAAGTACATGGGGCGGGAGAACTGGCGAGAGAGTTTCTTTCAGGTGGACTGTGATGAGAGCGAGGTTCTGCAAAGGACCTGCTACATGATGATGATGATGAGACTGTACCTACTGAACAAGTGACACCCAGTTCCAATATAACTGTTGTATAAGAATGAACAAGAAGTGTCTGGGAACCACCCTGGTGGATTCACATGTGGACAGAGGCTCCTTGAGTCACTGGCTGTTAATGTTTTAGCCCGCAGTCTCAAGAAGAAAAAAGCGGAAGAAGTGTAATTTATTTTTAACTTCTCTAAACACATGCAAAAACTGATGACTCCTTACATTCATCACCGCTTGTCAGCAAATGCATTCCTTCACACAGAATATCCTTTATCAATCACTAATAAATTAGATAAAGCTCACAAACTTTTCTTCTAAGTCCTCTCTGCATCTTTTCAGCTCAGTTTTTATTTAAAGAATCACCCACATCATCACACTAGCAACCACTCTAAAACATGAAAGACTTTTACTAAAAATTAACCAATCACAATGTCAAACAGTCTAAAACATGAATGACATTTGCGAAACAATCCATCATATTGGCAAATGCTCTAACATGTAAAGGACCCAACAAAAAAAAATGACATTTGCTAAAAGACAAAACTCATCAAATGTCAATGATAACGAAAATGTTGTGTGTGTCCAGATCCTGATGAACTTGCATATTTGAATATGTGATAGCCTTTACCTCTGTACCCTAGAAACATGGAAATAATTAACATCAATTAGTAAACATAATAAGATTAATGAAGTAATTTTAAACACCGAAACTGGCTTGGTGCAGTAGCTAGTCACTCACCTGCCAGTGTGAAGGCCCAGGGTTAAAACCCACCTTGGGCAGATTTAGAAAAAACACTGCGCTCAGCTCTTAAGTCAACCCAGACCACAATTTAATTTTCCTGTTGCACCTTTACATGTCACATAGGGCTCACAGTCTAGTCTGTTCTATCCTAAGCAATCAGTTCAGTATTATGGATGAAATCCAGACCAGCAGCTTTGGCTTCTCTCATCAGCGTTCATTTCAGGGTTTCTTTTGGGCATCCTTGTCTCCTTAATTTCCTTTATTTCCAAGTTGAATGCCTTTTTAATCATTCTCAGCAACTTCTCAGGACGTGTCCAATAAAGCACCATCTTGTCTGTCTTATTGTTGATACTAGTGGTTGCCCGGACATTTCTTTTATTTCTTCACTCCTTTTGAATTCATCTCATTTTTCTCCATGTCCTTCCTTAGGTAATGGATACCACCAGTAAATGTCCCAGGAAGCAAAGGAGTTGGGATAATAGGACATCACTCATCGAGTACCAAATAGTCCATACAAATCTGAGTACATCATCATCCTCGTGTTGCAAGTACTTTGCAGAATGTCCCCCTTATCCCGCTCTGCCTGAAAGAAACCAGCTCTCCCGCTTCGAGTACTTTCATATCCTGATTTGTCTGTGGGGCTAGTGCTGTCGCGACATGGTGATTTGATTTTTCAGCATCAACAGGGGGAACTCGCACAACGTTACCAATGATCTGAATCTGGATCTCAGGCGTGAGAGCACAGCATTCTTAGCCGTTTGGACAGAAATTGCTAGGAGTGACCAAGAGATCTGGTTGACGCTCAACACTTAGGGAAAAAAGCTTTATACCATCAGACTGTTACTGGTACCATCGAAATTGGAGCTCTGCGCTTGCAGCTGTAGATGGGGACGGAGCGGTTGTGAGATTGTCCCAAGTGCTGTGATGTCGATTCTTAATTCATCATCATGCAGCAGGTCCTTTGCAGAACATCGCTCTTATCACGGCCTGCCTGAAACAAACTAGGTCTCTCACCTGCTCTCCCGCAACGTGCACTTTCATATCCAAGCAGTAACATATCCTTTGCCCATGTTCATGTTGGTCAGCCTCTCCTTCCCGGTATCACACTTTCTGCCATTATTGTTTACAATCTGCCGTGGTGCTTAATACGGTTAAAGTATTTCAACCCACAAAACAAGATGCTGTTTATCAGCTACTTTTCCTTGATGCTCTGATATTTTTGAATGTCTGTATTTCTTCTCTTTTTTATCCACGGTATTCTGAAAATCTTTTGACAGCAGAATGAAGTATCATATGCCTGCTACGTCACTGGCGGGGACAGAGTTCTTTACATACTCCTAGAAACTGGATCTAGACCCTAACAGCGGAACTCTAAAAGAAGATTCAAACATAAGAAACGAAATCTTTCAGGAAAATACTTGGCATATCATACAGAGACCACATCACAAATGATGAGGTTCACTATATAATTACTTAGCCCACTGGCAACTATCAACCTCTTTTAACTACAGGGAAATGAGGGAAGAGGAATGCTACAGACATGCAATAAGATCTAACAGCCTTTCAACAATACTACAGAGCTCCGTAGAGGGAAAGAAACCAAGAAAGAACTGGATACAGAACTTGACTGACAGGACAGGCCTTAGTCATGCAACCATGAAGTTTATTGCATCTAACTGTCAAAGGTAGAGGGAGCTGATCAGTCAAGTCAACAGCAACTGGTGACCCAAGGACACACAGAGTTACGGGATGTCAATGAGACACTCGATTTAAGTCTACTGACATCATCATCATGTCTCATGCCAATAAGCTAAGGTGTGTCATGTTTCATCATCTCACATGATCGCCTGAATCACAGATCAGTTCAGTGTTCTTGTTTCGTTTCCCCTACACATGGCCAAGTCATTCAGGTAGTTATTATCTGCCATGCTCTTGCTCTGTGTCCATCAATCTTGCCAGTCATCAACAAGTTCTCGTCCATTCCTTTTCTTAACATGTTCAAAAGCATAGGCTGTTGGCAATGATATACCTAAAACCTGTGCAGGAATCTAGGCCGGATCTCAGCCAGTGTGAGCGGTGCTAAAGTAGGACCTGGTTAAACCTGACATGCTTCGCCACAGACATGAAGTTTGACTGCTCAATCAGTGTGCCCCCTCCAAGCTGTTACCCAAAGGTTTACAATACCATGATGAGATTTAACAATCTCAATTTGGATGGCAGAAAAACAAATCACATCCCAGAGACCCCGTTTAACTTCCAAGAAAAAGTTACAAATAAGGCACCCATAACAGCTACACAAACAAAGTGTAACCTGCAAAACGGTGTGAAAGTGCAAAAAGATTGCGCTGCGATGAGTTGCCTGGGGATCTGACCCACGCTCAACACTCAACAGAAGGGCAAGGCGGATATACAATCAGACAGAGACTGGTACCATCGGAACTGGAACTTTCCATTTGCTGCTGAAGTTGGGGACGGAGCGCTTATGGGGGTGTCCCAAGTGCTATGATGTTAATTCTTAATTCAACTTTCAGTTTAACCTGCAGTCCTGTGTGAGCAAAGAGGACACGAAAATCTCAACAGCAATCTTTTATATCTTCTTTTTCTTCAGCATTCCAAACCCTTGAGGTTCTTAGCTGCATATGTCACCTGCCTCCATTCATCTCTGTCACTGGCTTAGATATATGCTTCATGACAAAATATAGTTGACATAGGTAGGGGTGTCAGCTTCACACATCACCCCAAACAGGAAGACCAGGGTGAGTCTGTCTGTGCCTGTCCTCTACCCTTTGACCTATCCAGCAGCTGTGCTACTGTTGGCACAGCTCTGAGGGCCATTAACAAATGCAAGCTCTCCCACTGCCACAAGGAGGCGACACCTTTTGTGGGCACCATTTATATTTAAACAATTTTATTTTATGTGTCTGTCAAATTACATAGTGGTCTATTAATTGCGAGTGAGCACCATGGTGTAGCGGCTAGGTGCTGGCCTGCAGATCTGAAGGTTGTGGGTTCAAATCTGAAAGGAACTGGACTTTTTTCAAAAATGCCTGTGGCTCCTAGGTCAACCCAGTCTTAAATGGATAGTAGATTAAGTCCTAGGAGATAAAGGAGACCACATCAACCCCAGACATAACTATATAGCCAATTCGCTTAAAGACAAGGAAAAATGATTGATTTTTTTTCCAACTTTTTACTTATTAACTGTGAATTTTCAAAATCAACTATTATTTAGAAAGGCTATCCTAGTTATAAATGTAATTACGTCAAAATCATCAAATATCATCTCTGTTGAGATGAAGCAGCTGCAGCAACTTCCCATCTTGCTTCTCTCACAAAATAAGGACAAAATTATAAACAGGAAAACACAATACCAACCAACCTGCGGGTGCTTCGCCGTATCAAAAGATTCTCCAAAGCTAAACAAAGGGTGAGAAAAAAGAAACACAAAATAAATTGCGGCAGAAACAATTAGAAATATTAACAATCCAGTGCCATCTCCACAATGAAGGTTGGCTACAATGTACCAGAGCTGGCTCTAGAAATGTTACATGGTGAGGCCTTCATCTCTTCCACAGCATGGGTTTTGTAAACCATTCACCATAGGGAATAAAACTTACCATTCAAGGATTATAAAACAGTAAGAAGATATTGCAAAGTGTTTCCCAGTAATTAATCAATTCAAAAAATTACCAGTACCACCAATTAAAATTAAATCTAATTTCTTTTGTGTTTCTTTACCCTGTTAAGTTCACTAAAGAACTGATATCACAACACTCGAGGCATTTCCATAAGAACTCTGCCCCCATCTTTAGCAACAGTTGCAGAATTTCAATATTAACAGTGCCAACTGCAGTCAGATCATATATTCATTTTTGTTTCCCACTGAGCATTGACTGTTAGCCAGATTCTCTGGGCACCTCATATTCTTTCTAGATCACGATGATATATATACTGTCCAACATTGTGTGTATGCTTCCAAAAAGCCTCTACCACGTAATAATTTAAATTCACCACCCAGCAGAATACACCAGTCTACCTGCCAGTTTATTTCACCAAAAGCTTCCAAAGGATACTCACAACAAAAATACGTGAAGTGTACTCTTTTAATTTCCAGGACAACATCAAAGCCGTAAGCTGTACACCATATTCTTCTTCTCCTTCTGCACTCAACATCAGCCACACTAAACATTCAGTCCCATCTGGGTCACAAACAGAATAGTGCATTTAAGGTTGCTACCGGACCCTCCACAGCTTCTTCTATATAATGTAGCTCCCTTGGACCAGATCCACAGCCTTTGCTGGGAGTAGTTAGGGCAATCCTTCAGTATATGCTCTGGAGTCTGTCTGTCCGTCTGCACAACACTCACAGGCAGCAGATTCTTGTATGCCTACCCTGTGTCGATGTGCTCTAAGACCACCATAACAGGATGAAGTTCTGGATGATGGCAACCATAGTAGATAAGCTGAACCACACCCCATAATTAATATTTACTCAGTCCTCCTGCATTACCTCCGCAATCATGTACAACTGCTTCTGAACCATGATGTGATGAAGTCTGAGCCCTGAAAAAGGCTATACATCTGAGAACCCACCCCACCCTGTCGTAAAGCATTAAAGCACCATCTCCATGGGGGCTGTCTTGCAGAGGTCTCTTTCCCTTCTCCAAGAGCAAGCACCTGTAAGCTGCAACCAGATCAGTACTGAAACTCCACAACCACAGAGAGATGTGGTGATCCCTAGAACACTGGCCATAACATGGACAGTTTGCTGACAGACTGCCATGTCAGCCACCTCAGTCTTCACATGCCAACTACCTTAGTCCTCACATGCCAGCCACCCAAACTTTCAGTTGGAAACCTAACACCTTTATATGAAACTTTACTGGTCTCAGGGTTGTACCAGAAAGAAACAAAAACCCTGCTAGGCTAATGAGTTATCGGTCTAAAACACTTAACAGTAAGTCAGTGAATTAGCCAGAGCTCTTAAAACTCAACCATGGAGACATGAAATAATAAATTTTAAACACAAAGAAACGTATTAACATCTTGCAAAACAAAAGCTCACCCTTGAGCCTTGATTTTAAAGGTCTCCAAGTCAAACTCTGTGATTTTTATGACCTGGAGAAGAAATAAAAGCAGACAGATCAACAAAAACAAATGTTGAACATGTGGGTTTTGGGGTCCCATTGGGAAGGGAGGGGGAGCAATAGATCCAATGCCTCCCTAACAAGTCGCACAAGGTGACAAATTAGACATTTTTTCTTTATGAAGTCAGCGTGCATCTGCCTGAGAGGTGAGAAACCAACAATCTGCATACAGATAAGCCAGATCTGTAAAATGGATGTGCACGCAAAACTCAAGTCCTGGAACAAAAAAAGACTAGAAATTGATAAATGACCAGGAATTTCCACCGGCGAACACTTAGAAGAAGATTATCTACAAAGTTTAAAAGTAAAGAGTCCTATCATTTCACCATCAGGACTTTTATTACCTAGAATACTTTCTTGTACCCATTTTTAGGCTGGATCACTCTGGGAGATCAGTAAATTTGTAACTGAATGCGGATAGGATTCCCGCAAGTCAAAGTCATATAGGAGAAATATCTAGACAACCACTGGTATCAACAGTAATAAGACAAGGTGGTGATGTATTGGCCACATCCTGGGCAAAAGAAATTTAAGAATCACCAGAAACATAATAGAGAGAGGAAGACACTCAAAAGAAACCCTAGGGTGAATGTGGATGAGAGACCAAAGGTGCTAAATTGGATTCCACCCATGACACTGAAACAATAGCACAGGCTACAAAAGAGTGAAAGAATAAACAGTGAGCCTTATGTGACATATAACAGCACAACAGAATGATAATGATGCTAATTATATAACAGATATTTAAAATATTTAAGACAATTTAAATCAAAATAATGGATGTGGATGCAGAAATGGATGAACAACCATAACTTTACAGCCAGTCAATGCAAAGAAGAAGCAGAAGAATGAAATATTCATTGTAATCCCTACCTACAGTTACATAACAGTGTCATCTGGGTATATGTTAATGCTAACAGTTGATCAGATCCTTCCTTTTCTGGACAATGAGATGCGATAAACTTCATCTTTTCATATTTGTACTTAAAACTGCCTGCCAGATTTTGCATCCAAATCTGTCTTGCCCGGCCTCTTTTTCACTGTACCAAAACCTGCAGTATGGTTTTGAAACAGATGACAGATGCCTACACCACTGCATTACGCATCTCTTTACAGCTGTTAAAATGAATTTGTAATTTGAAGTTACCCTGGTAGTCACGTGACTAAGGTAAGCTTCTAGCGGCCGGTGTCGAAAGAAACTATTCGCATTTCAGTTGGATTTATTCAGTTTTGTGCTTCATTTTATGTTGATGTAACTCTGTAGTAACGCACCTGATGAGATACAGTGAAATATTCTTGGCAATAAATTGTGCAATGCATTGTTTGTGTCCGCATTATCTGAATTTGTATTTGACAATATTGCACAATAAATGACCCAACAATCTTCACAATTTGTGATCTGGCTTCTATACAGTCTAATTCTGAGCAACACAAAACTAAACAGTTTGTGTTTAACTGATCTCCATGTCTTCAGGCAAAGTTGGCAAATTAACGTTGAAAAATGTTGGTTGCGTATCCTTTACAGGACGTTGCAGAACCAAACCCAGCATTTTTTGGCTATCGTGGTTATTCTAGGCAAATTTACGTCCAGAAGTTTGCCATTGCTTTCTGCATTGTCAGCTTCTCGATACCACTGGCGAAACCAACGCAAGGCCTGCAGCTGGGTTGAACCCAGCACCCCGGCATCACAAAGAGCGTTCACAACTCATAAGCCATAGACGCCAACACAAATAAAACATTTTGTAAATATTGTTGCATGAACAGACAGACGTGCTTTACTGACATAATACAATGGCTGTGCAAAGGTTGAGTGTTAGGAAGGCTGAATGTAAGATGGGCCTGCGTGCCCAATTTGTAAAATAAAGTATGTTTATTCAGATTTGATGATTTTCTGTTGTTCTTCTTTCTTCTTCTTGTTCACCGGCTGTGAATTCCGGCGGTAAGTCGCGGTTGTTCGTCCAAATGGACTTTTGGCTTTTACCTTGACCTGAGTTTTGCGTGTACATCAGGTCAAGGTAAAAGCCAAAAGTCCATTTGGACGAACTGTTCATTCCCAACAATTTGTGTGTGCTTAAGCTCTTATCTGGATAAGAAGAATTTCTGATAAGATTAACTATTTCTTGGCTACCCAGTAAGTTCTCCTTATCAGGTCTGCACTGTACTAAAGGCTGAGATCTGTAGAGAGACATGGGCACTTATGCCGCTAGTTAGAGTATATGATGATGATATTTACACTCACCCTGGGAATAAAGAAAGGCTCGGTTGAAAACACAAATAAAAACTCATCCAGAAATCGGTAGAGCAGAGATAAGATGTCATCACCTGAAAAACATATACAATATCGTTACAGTCAAATAAAAAAAAAAAAAGAAAATCAAATCTGAAACGTTTGTGGGCAAAATATCATACAGTTTTAGTAAAACAAGCGAGGTCTCCACTGTGAAGTGATTTTGGCTTTTGCCTCGTGCCAGATCATGCTGCTTCATTATCATATTTTTTCATTCAATTCTTGAGTGCATTTTTCTCTAGTATCCATGAGAGACATCACTGCAGCAGCATAGGAGTTGGTAAAACACTCTTTATAGGTAGCATCTCGGGAGCATAGGAGTTGGTACAACACTCTTTACAGGTGGCATCACTGCAGCGTGGGTGTTGGTAAAACACTCTTTACAGGTGGCAAGTGGAGAGAGACTGAGCTGTGGGATATAACCCAGTGAAAAGCTCTTAACATAACCACCTCTGCAGATTTATATTGAAAAAAAAAAAAACTTGTTTGCTCTGCAATTTATAGAATGCAGAATTTGTAACTTGGAAGTAAACATTCCAAACAGCACTCGCCCAATCCTCTATTAACTCTCTCACACCCTGTAAATTTAGCAGCAGTCAACTTGAAGGAGGACCCATCACTACAACAAATCATAACTACAGAACTTTTAAACGCATGAATTACACAGCAGATGTGGCCACTGTGGGAGCCAAATTTCTTTAATGTATACACTGACCAAAAGTAAAATGTATACAAGCATACTCCACTATGGTTGGATTTCAAGGTAAAGAATCCATCATACATCATGTGTTGCTTGGGGTTGCAAAAAAGGTTAAAAAAAATAAACACACACAAAACTTTAAAAAAATACACATCAGCTAAATGACTTTAGAATCTGTTGGCACCTTTCCAGATGATAGTGTTGCCTCGTGCTCTAGGGAGGCACGGGAACTAATGTCCATGGCAATGGTCAGTGTGACCAGCAGGACCTGCTTGTGGTAACAAAAAGTAAGGAAAGGACCCTTTTCCACACCTTTTAGGTGTATTGGGTGTATAGGGTTAGACCTATCTTTTAAAAACCAAACAGCAATTGGTGGATGATGTGGCCAGCATCACCCCGGCCGCCTTTACTTTCCAGGAGTGTACTCACACAAGGCGGGGTCAACCTGGAAGCCAAGGTCATTTTTTAAAGAAAAAAGTCCAGCCACCGTCAGGGACCGGACCCACGACCTTCTGAAGAGCGTGCTTGTGGTAAAGGTCTCTCACAATTAGAGTATAGGATTTCAGGATCCCAGTTGAGGACCATGCAATTAATGTACCTCATCTCAGACATGCAGCTCTCGGAAGACTGGAATTACCAACTGTATCAACAATGCACACAAGACATCTCTGAACATCATACCTGAAACTTCGATTTCAAAAACAAATTTCATCTCCACTCTGTCGTAATCTGTGGTCATGTAGTTAAACATGGCAGTAGCCACCTGCAGGGGAAGAGAACAAACAGCTGTCATGTGACTCGGAGAAAGATCTTACTAGGGCTTTCCTGCTGGAAAAAGATTGTCTGTTCTCATCACAAAGTGTCTAGAACAGATGCCAGTACTCACCACAAAGTGTCTAGAACAGATGCCAGTACTCATCACAAAGTGTCTAGAACAGGTGCCAGTACTCACCACAAAGTGTCTAGAACAGATGCCAGTACTCACCACAAAGTGTCTAGAACAGGTGCCAGTACTCATCACAAAGTGTCTAGAACAGATGCCAGTACTTACCACAAAGTGTCTAGAACAGGTGCCAGTACTTACCACAAAGTGTCTAGAACAGATGCCAGTACTCACCACAAAGTGTCTAGAACAGATGCCAGTACTTACCACAAAGTATTTAATACAGTAGGATGTTACAAGGATGCCGGGAGGAAAAAAGTGGCGTACTGTGACCCACCAGAAACAAAGTATTGGATCTTGCAGTGTCATTCATGCAATAACATTTATCTTATAGCAGAGTGCCTTGGGGACTCACCTCTAATCTTAGCAGACCTAGTAAAATTCACAGTGCAGCTGTAGTGAATTTGTTTACAAAAGAAAAAGAAGAGGACATACACTAGGACCAGATTTAGATATATGAGGTTCAAAGGTATTTAAAGCTCTGAAGCCGCTACCATTTTAAATTACACCAGCTAATATCAGAAAACATTAAAACATATACACCCTTTAAATATGTGGATAATGGTAATGAGCATCACAGTTGAGGTCAGTATATACAAATCATGGGTATTGCCTATTTTCTTATATGGATATGAGAGTCAATATGGAAATAGAAAGGAAGATTCAGGCTTTTGAAGTAAATGTTACTAAGTGGTGAAACGTCGCAAGCTAGCTTGGTTCAGGCAGGGATAAGACATGATTTGATTGCAAAGACTGTACTTCAAGGAACACCGGGGGAGGGGGGGGGGGGGGGGGACAAGAATCTAGAAAGATAACATCAAAAAATTGACAGGACTAAGTTATCACACACTTATTCATCAAGCAGAAGACAGAGAAAGATGGCGTACTGTGAGCTAGTGCTTCCATCGATACACGTGCATGACCCTAACAAGACAAGGGTTGTTGTAATGGAAATACACTGTGATTTAATTTTTAATTAAAGAAACTATTAAACAGTGTTTTTCTTAACATAACAGAAAGTTGAATATAAAATATACTAAAAGAAAACTGCATTTCTGGAAGAAAGGGGAGAATCTGTTGTGGCCCTCTGCAGACTGTGAATCCAGTGCAGACTGTTAGACTCTAAGCAGTAGCTTATGTCTAATTCCAGCAGAGGTACCGCCTCTGTATCTCATACTGTGAAACAATTCATCCACGCTCCTCCGTCAAAGCACTGAACAAAAGCATTCAAACCATCCCCACCACTGTCATCTATAAAGCAACAAGATCATCAATAAAGAAGTAGAAATGGTTAGCTTCACAAGAACACAGCCCTAGTGGCAGAATTACTACCACAGATAGAAAGCCCTCATCAGGGAAAAAAAACACACACACAATGAAATCATATGACGCACCAACAAATATATAAAAATGAACTGGCTTATCAAACCATGAAACCTAGGGTCAAGACTATGTAATGTATGTGTTCTAATATTTCAGTCTTCTAGAATCTTCTTCGGCATTTCAAACGTCTGAGGTTTATTGCTGCAGATATCACCCGCCTCCATTCAACTCACTTGCTGGCTTTGTCTTTCCACTTGGTGCTCCTAGATTTAGATTTACTCATAAAAAAATGTAAAATTCATGTGTGGCTTCCGGAATCCAAATTGCTGGGGGTGGGTGGGGGTGGGGGGGGGGGGGGCACTGCACGCTATATACAGCCAGCTTTGACAGATGGTTGTGCATCCTAGACAAGTAATATACAAGCGAAACAATTTCTTGAGGCCTTGGAGAAGTTTTGCACAAGAATCCTTAGAATGCCTTGCATAGCCAAAGAAACAGCATCTCAGATGTTTTGAAACATGCGAGGGCTTGCATAGCTTAAAAAAAACAGCAACTCGGATGTTTTGAAACATGCGAGGGCTTGCATAGCCAAAAAAACAGCAACTCAGATATTTTGAAACATGCCAGGGCTTGCATAGCCAAAAAAACAGCAACTCAGATGTTTTAAAACATGCGAGGGCTTGCATAGCCAAAAACCCAGCAACTCAGATGTTTTGAAACATGCCAGGGCTTGCATACCACTTATTACAAATGTCAGAAAGAGAAAATTCTCATATTGTGGTCGTGTTATGAGAAGGAAACTAAAAAAATATTGTGACTACTGGAAAGATAAGTGGAAAGAGATACAAAGGAAGATAAAGCAAGAAGATCCTTGACAACCCCTTGTCATAGCACGGAGGAGTGTCAACACACAAACTGATACATGCAGTTGCAGACAGCAAATTGTAGAGAGGCATGATCACCCATGCCAGTCAGCAAGGCACCTGATGATGATGAGTAGAAATGGGTGTGATTTTAAGAAGTGTTCGGACACTGTCAGAGAGCTGGTCACTGCACCCTGTATGGCTTGACCTAGTCATGTAAGGGCCTAACACTTCACAGCCCAACTGCCGTAATTCCTATGGAACAACCCTACCAATAACTTTACAGCAGTTCAACCCACTTCATTTTCATATTCTCTAAATCAGTACAGTGGCCAACATTCCAAACTGCCCTAGAGTCAGACACCATCCAACAGGAAACCTGACTCACCTGCTCAAAGCTCTCCTTCAGGTCACTGCCCCCTGTACTCAAGTCAAGGAATCACAAGGAAACTCATTTTATGTTACTTTTAATTTATCCTTATAAGTATCTGATGCCTCCTGGTGGCATAGTTATCAGTACATCTGCCTGTCAAAGCACTAGTCCAGGTTCAATAACAAAGGGCACAAGACAATTTTCTGAGCAGGAAAGGTGACGAGAACAGAAATCATCCAAAACTGCATGTAGGCTGCTAGGAAAGTGCCAACGAAATATTAAAGACTAGAATATGTGAAGGCTAAACATTTCACTGAGCAATGAGAATGGACAACCTGAAAGTATAAACACCAAGAGGTAAGGGAAGACCAAGAAGAAGATGGGCTGAATGAGCCACTGATACCTTGAGACTGCATCACAGCACACAGGGCAACCAAGTATGCCCTTGCTAGGATACCTATCAGCTGTATCCTGCAAGGTCTAGCAGCAGAAAACAGAAAATGGAGAAAAGAAAGAAAGAAAGAACAAAACAATTCATATCCCAACTGTGGTAACTGCTATAAGACTACCTTTACCTGCTGTACAATAGTACAGGAGTTAATATGTCTGGTTGACTCTTGCCCTGGGTGCAATGCCCAGCTGCATATTTTTCTACTCTGTCAGATAGTTCAGCGGTTTGAGACTAGTGCTAGAAATTGTCTAATCCATCAGATAGCTCAACTATGTGAAACTGGTGCTAGAAATCATCTTTTCCATCAGACAGCTCAGCCATGAAAGACTGGTGCTAGACAATGTCTACTCCATCAGATATCACAGCCATGTAAATATAGTGCTAACAATTATCTACTTCACCAGATAGCTCAGCCATGTGAAACTGGTGCTAGAATTTATCGACTGCATCAGAAAGCTCAACCATGAAAACTAGTGCTAGAAATTGTCTACTGCATCAGATATCACAGCCATGTAAACATAGTGCTACAAATTATCTACTCCAACAGATAGCTCAGCCATGCAAAACTTGTGCTAGAAATTGTCTATAGAAACATTTCTGAAGCAGGCAGTTCGGGACAACTCAATATGCATATACCTAGTATACATTATTTACCTTCACATAAATCTTTTACTTTATATCAAGTGCTCAAATCAAAATGCTATTATATTATCAACCAAACTAACTTTCTCCTCTTCTGAGCCCTTTTTCTTTCAGCCTAGCTACTGAGCCGAATATGAAATCTGGGTTATGTTTCAAACCTAGGTTATGTATCAAACCTGAGTTATATATCCAACCTGGGTTATGTATCCAACCTGGGTTATTTATCAAACCTGGGTTATGTATCAAACCTGGGTTACCAGTTAAACCTCCAGAACAATAAAAGGATACATGAATGGAGCCTGTGGAATAAACAAAACAAAAAATGCATTAAAGCAATTCATATATTCAGTTTGTGCTCTCTGTCCAAAATATGTCCAAATATGACAAACATTTACACACATTAAAAGCGAAATGACAAAGAATTATGACTGAGATAAATAACTGTCTCACTCCTTTACAGGTGAAGCTAAACATGAATCAAAATGACTTTGATAAATTCCCATTAATGATACTCTTCTAGTCCCATCTAGAGACAATACTTTTTTTTTTTTAAACACATACACAATAATTCTGTTGCCTTTTGTGTGGATGAGATTGACAAAGCTGAGAAGACAACTAGAAAAAAGAAATGTCTGATTAAATCATATGAACTCTTCAGAGGGTATGAAGAAACTGCAAATGACAACCAACAAATAATGAGAGGAAAACATGTTATCTCTGAGAATTGAAACAAGTCTTCTGAGGAACTTATGAGATATGCCTTGTTGGTCTGCCTCAGCTTGATGAAGGTGAATCAACTGTACCTCACTGTGGTGCAGCACAGGGAAATCAGAAAGGTGTGATGCTAAAGTATTCAAAATAACAAGTACCCACAGAATTAACTGTACAATTGATGGCACCCTCACGTTCCAGCAGTTGTAAACCACTGTGAACACTGGAGGTCACAAACCAATTCATTTAGATGGAAGATAAGGAAAAACAATTGCTCTAAAAACAGTGATGTGAAAAAAGAAAAGCAACAAAATGTAGCTTTACATCTCAGGCCCCAAGCCTAAAACACCCTCCATGCATACATTGTCAGTGGTACTTCTGCATTCATTCTTAAAAGGAAAGTTGGCGCACGTGTTGTGGTTCAAAGCTGACTGCGATATCTGCACCTTTCAGTCTAACAAATATTACTTCAGCAAATCCATAATTAATCGTCTTGTATGACATGCTTGTTAGAGGGCTGTGGTTTTTGTCTTATTTTTTGCCCCAAAATTCTGCCCCTAGAACCCACACTGGGAGTCAATTGTACAAAGTGCTATAATCTAACAGGTGGCCAAGTATGCACTTTAGTATCTTCATTTTAACTTTTTGTCAGCACATACTATCTGTATTTGACTTCTCATTTTGTTGTGACAAAAATATCTTTAAATTTGTAACTTTGCTTGTGCAGTGTTTCACTAACTATAACTGTAAATTGTGTAGATGTAGTAAACCTGTCTGCTTCTGGAACTGAGAAACTCTTTATTTTATAGTGCTGAAACTTCTTCTTTCATTTGTTTGAAATAAGATTATCTAAATCTGCAATGATGTCTCTAGTATGAACTTCACTGAAACTATCTAAGAGCTGTCACACAGACACAACGGAAGCATAACTAGAGGTCATCCACACAAGCGATGGATAGATGGCATATCTGAGGCCATGAATATCAGCATCTCTATAACATACACCAAGACTGCCACCAGATGCCTCTTTGAACCCTGATAGAAACAACAAGGTGGGTAGACAAGATGTGCTAAAACTATTGTTGTTTCTTATCTGTTGTCATGTCAATCTGGCCTATTCTAAATGTATTCCATACAACAACAACAACAAAAATTTAAAAGGCACACTGGTCAACCTCATCTACAACACACAAATATAATGTATACTCACTGCACATCAGCAGTGTGGTCTAAATCTGTACAAACAAAATAAACAGAAATGTGATGATAAACATACTTGCCACAAGTAACGCTTTTACACAAAATGTAAATTTAAGGGCAGTGAACAAAAATAGGTGCAAAATTGCTTCTACAGAAGCAACAACAAAATATTTTAGAAGATAAGTAATATATCTTCATCTTCAGTTTTCTGTGCCCACAAAGTTCACTGCTGTAGATATCACCCGCATCTGTTTTATCTCTGTGACTGGTGATCTCTTTCCAGTTGGTAAGTCCATGTGTTTGTAGGTCTGCCTGCATAATATCTCTCCACCATCTTGTTGGTATTCTTCATAGTTTAATCTCATTTAACTCTTGCGGTGTGGTATGTGTTGAATGGTAGTAGACCCTGATGCAGTATGGTATGTTTTGAATGGTTGTAGACCCTGATGCAGTATGGTATTTGTTGAATGGTTGAAGACCCTGATGCAGTATGGTATGTTTTGAATGGCTGAAGACCCTGATGCAGTGTGGTATGTGTTGAATGGTAGTAGACCCTGATGCAGTATGGTATGTGTTGAATAGTAGTAGACTCTGATGCAGTATGGTATATTTTAAATGGTTGAAGACCCTGATGCAGTATGGTATGTTTTCAATGGTTGAAGACCCTGATGCAGTGTGGTATTTAATGAATGGTTGTAGACCCTAATGCAGACCAAGAAGACCACAATTCGATATCTTGTTGTGCCTTTATGTCGGCGTCTGTGGCATGGGCTTTGCAAATGAGCTTTGTAATGCTGGAGTGCCGGGTTCGATCCCAGCTGCAGGAGTTGTGCTTTTTTAGAAGGTGATATCGAGAAGCCAATCGTCCAGAAAGCAATGACAAACTACTCTACATAGATTTGCCTAGAAAGACTACAGCAGCCAAAAAATTATAGGGTTGGTTCTGCAATGTCCTTTAAAGGATACATGGCTAACTTTAACTTTGTGCCTTTACACATAGCACAGAAATCGATATATACAAAACTCTTCTTTTAATTATAACCCCAAAATTATGAATATTTTATTAAAGACTGACAGAACAGTGACTAACTATTGACTTACACTCATATTTGACTTCAGGAATTTGGGGTGCTTCTCCCTCCTCTAACAACCTCCCTACAGTGTCCTCATCACTCATGCTTGCAGATACGTCAGTTTCTCTGTCTTCCTGTCTATTTCCCAAATTCTTTCAGGGATTCTGAAATTAAAAGCCATTTTACAAATACTACCCTGTAATATTAAAAACTCTAGGATGTTAACTGCAGTGACGAAAGAAGTGTGAAAGTGATGTACAGAACCTGTGTTGTTATATGCATGTGAGAGATGGAGAGTTAGATTATCTTCACAGCACTGCGGACACATCCATAGGTGCTCAGATTCCCCTCACAACATTTTATACATCAGTGTCACACAGTTAATAATGTCAGTTCTATGTTGGTTAACAAGACTGTGTGTGTGTCCGGTGTGCTTCTCATGCTCTCTGTGCTCGTGGTTCATGTGGGAGAATTCCTGCTCTTAAAACAAATTGTCTTCTCAAAAGATTCAGAATCACTCATAAAGTGAAAGAAAGTAAGGCGAGAAACTAAAAAAACACAAAAGTCAAAACTGTGCGCTGTCAAGTTTGTAGTAGATGACGAATCGATCTGATCCGTTCAGTTTCGGTTCACAATAAAAACAACAGAATGAATGTACATGTTTCTTGTCACTGATGTGTATAGTTAGAGTATGTTAAACAGTTGAGCAACGAAGGAAACTTACTGCAGAGTTAGCTAAAGTCAGCCGGGTAACAAATAACAACAAATGGTTGCGAGATTCGACCGGAAGTACAATCCGACATGAGAGCAGGCCAGCGACAGCTAACTCTTGTTTTCTTGGGGACAATCACTCTACCGGGTTATCTGTTTGTTTTCTTGGGGACAATCACTCTGCCGGGTTATCTGTTTGTTTTCTTGGGGACAATCACTCTACCGGGTTATCTGTTTGTTTTCTTGGGGACAATCACTCTACCGGGTTATCTGTTTGTTTTCTTGGGAACAATCACTCTACCGGGTTATCTGTTTGTTTTCTTGGGAACAATCACTCTACCGGGTTATCTGTTTGTTTTCTTGGGGACAATCACTCTACCGGGTTATCTGTTTGTTTTCTTGGGGACAATCACTCTACCGGGTTATCTGTTTGTTTTCTTGGGGACAATCACTCTACCAGGTTATCTGTTTGTTTTCTTGGGGACAATCACTCTACCGGGTTATCTGTTTGTTTTCTTGGGAACAATCACTCTACCAGGTTATCTGTTTGTTTTCTTGGGGACAATCACTCTACCGGGTTATCTGTTTGTTTTCTTGGGGACAATCACTCTACCGGGTTATCTGTTTGTTTTCTTGGGGACAATCACTCTACCGGGTTATCTGTTCCGGCCGAAAGTAGTTCTCATGTACTCTCTCATACTCTCCTCTCCTCGTTGTTACGTTTGTGTAGTTCACTTATGTTTTAAAAAGGCTGCCGGGGCGAAACGTTACAGTGTGTTGTTCTGTGCATATTTTTCTGCTTCCCCATTTTGTTGAGCTTTTTAGTCAAATTTCTCTGAAATTTCTCAGTTCTGGCTTATCTGTATTCGGACAGCTGGAAGGATAACATCAGAGAAACTCTACAACAGCACAATGTGCCTATGGTCGAGGCAGCCAGAAGAGCTAGAAACAGAACCTTATATCTCCCTCGACACCCACAGCGGTAAAAGAGGAAGTGAAGAAGAAGAAGAAGCTGGTTCCTTGCCCCTCAGGCAGACACACGCCTACTTTAAATGCAACTCCCCCCCCCCCCTTTCCCCCTTTCCCGCCGCAATGGATTCCCGGAACCCACATGAGACTATTCTTTTCAGTCCTAATCACGCTTCCCGGGCCATCTACACACTTTCTCATTCTGGTCTAGGTCAGAGGGGTGTCACGGTGTACCAGGTTTTTTTTTTTTTTCGAAAAAAGTTTCTCGTGGTACCTAGGCACAGGCTGTGGGTAGAAAAGGGGGGGGGGGGTGGTTGGATTAGGGCCAGTTCTAGCTGTTCTGTGGTCGTTAAAAAATGTGCCGTCGTGTAGTATAGAACACGCGACATCGGTGCGGATGTAATTGGAGGCAAGACAATGTGACACCCCTCTGACGTTAAACAGTCTGAGAATGCATGAATAAAAGGTCAGCCGGCGTGTAGATGGGCCTGAAAATGTGAATATTACCCTTTCCAATAGTATGCTATTCCAAATTGGAGTCGCAAAAATGTTTTATTGCATGGCGTGTTTACTAAATATATCAGTATTTTATTTCTCAGTTGTAGGCCTGTAATCTACCTATTCATCATACTTACCATCATCACCATCACCAGAATCTTGTTGTGCGACTGATCTCACACAAGGCTCTGACCTCGGGATTCTCTTGGGCGTCTTCGCCTCTTCGATCAGTGTTTCTCTTGCCAGTTTGATGTGCCCATGAAATCGCCAGCCTGCTGATATCAATGGCTTTCGTGAATCTCTCTGATTTCTTCGCCTTTTTACAATTTATTACATTCAATGCCAATCAGTTTCCTCACTCACGTGTTTCCTAACACCTTTAACCGTCTCTCTACAGAAACCCTGAAACGAACGTCAATGAGAGAGGCCGAAGCTGATGGACTGGATTCCATCCTTGATATTGAACTGATTGCACAAGATAGAATGGAATAAAGACTGCGAGCCTGTGTGACATAAAATAGCACAACAGGATAATGAATAATGTCGATATCGTTGATGGAGTTTAATTGGGCACCTACGGTTTCTCCTAGACGCTTTCATTTCTTATAATTTTTTTAAAAATCTAATTTCAGTTGCTGATGTTCTGTCCATTCCTCCCCAGGACGTGCCTAGTATATCGCCATCTTTGTCGTCTGCTCATGCCAATGGCTGCTAAGATGTACCGATGTCTTCGCCTTTCTCTAGCGTCCTATTTAATTTTAATTAATTCCCTCGCTTATTTGTTTGCAAATTCATTCAATCGCATTCCAACAGAAACTATAGGAGTAGAAGCTGCAACATCAGTTTTTATGGTGTTCATTTAAAACAAACGACATCCTGCGCTCAGCCATTGAGACATTTGGTTTTTCGACCGTGTATTATTATGATTATGGCAAACTACTGGACGTAAATTTGCCTAGAAAATCCACACAACAGCCAGGGGCTGCTGGGGTTGGTTCTGCAACGTCCTGTAAAGGATACGCAACTAACCTTATATTTATGATTGTCATTATTTTTATTTATTTTTGAGCACTACATAGAATATGAATTAATTGTAGCCCTAGACTGTTAGGTTTAACACATTGGAATGTCTTTTTAAATAACAGTGATGATTATATCATGGAAACCATCTTTGCGAAAGTATTATGAGACACTTTTATTCTGCCGTATGATATTCGTTGGCTCTATGCCAAAGTCGCCTAAGCTCTAAATCCTTGTTTGGAAGAAGTCTCGTTTGAACACGAGTGGCAAATGACAAGTGTTTAGTTGTATGGTCGGCGTCTGTGGTTTAGAGGTTGCGAACGAGCTTCGTAATGCCGGGATGTCTTGAGATGGTTTCGACAGTGGTACCGAGAGCTGACCGTTCGCGGAAAAAAAGGAGAAACGAGTGAACGTAAAATTTGCATCGAAAAATCACATCAGCCAATAAATGCTTTGGTTGGTTCTGCAACGTCTTGTAAAGGATACGCAACTTTAGTTGTATGAAAAGTAATACTTCTTTTTGACCTTTCTTCTTCTTCTTCTTCTTCTTCTTCTTCTTCTTCTTCTTCTTCTTCTTCTTCTTCTTCTTCTTCTTCTTCTTCTTCTTCTTCTTCTTCTTCTTCTTCTTTTTCTTTTTCTTCTTCTTCTTCTTCTTCTTCTTCTTCTTCTTCTTCTTCTTCTTCTTCTTCTTCTTCTTCTTCTTCTTCTTCTTCTTCTTCAGTTTTCTGAGCCCTTGAGGTTCATTGCTGCAGATATCACTCGCCTTCATTCATTTCTCTGGTTGCCTTCTCTTTCCAGTTGGTGACACCAAGTGTTGCAGGTCTGCCTGGACATTATCTCTCCATCGTCTTCTTGCTCTGCCTCGTTTTGACCTATTTGGGATATAATTCACGTTTGTATATTGTAAAATGACAACTAATAGTCCTAAAAAATGCATAGTGACAATCGCTTTATTCAATATGAGTGATTTAAGGATAATACCGGTGAATTATTAACATCACCCCCGTGTGGGTTCCGGGGCCCTATTATAGGGATAACAAGAACAGACCCACTGCCTGCCGAAAAGCATGTCGTAAGAGTCGACTAATTGGAAGCTTCCTTCGAAGTCGGAGTGCATCTGACTGAGAGGCAAGGAGCCAACAGTCTGCACACAAGTGTGTCAGATCTGTCAAACGGATGCACACGCAACCCTCAGGTTTTGGAACAGGACTGCAGTCCAGAAGTGGATGATCAACTAGAACTTTCCACCAGAGTTTACAGCTGGTGAACGCAAAGCAGAAGAAAATTAACATCTCTTGTGCCGACCTTTGAACTTGTGATGTATTGTTTAATCTTTACCCGTGTTTTTCTAAGACTGTCTAACGCTATCATATTTTTTAATGTCATAAATATATGACAAGAAATTCAATATGTACTATATTACGTCATCGAATTTTGAACTCGGAATTAATTAACGTGAAGACAAACGGGATATTCAGACATGCGCACGTTGGAGATCTGTGTAGGTGGATGCCTACAGACATGGGACCAACAAGGACTGGTCAGACACCTTGTCTGCGCCGGCGTGAGTTTGCCAGGTAACTGTCACTGTCACTACTGTCTGAATTTACATTTTCCCGACTCCCCCCCCCCCCCTTTCCCTTCCCCCTCCAAGAATTTTGGATGTACATGGACCTGGGCTTTCCCTTTCCACCCAAGTGTTGAGTCAAGAATTGACATCACAGCATTCGGGGCCTCCCATGCATGCTACGCTCTCATCTTCAGCAGCCAGCGCAGAGTTCCAATACTGATGGTACCGGTCACAATCTGGTTAAAAGTCAGTCTTGCCTTTCCTCTGAGTGTAGTGAGCCGACCAGACCCTCTGGTCACACCCAGGTGCCTCATTCTCTCCAGGCCATCGTAATTTTCTTTCTCTACTGATTCCGTTGCTTGTTCCCTAAGGGCCTTGACCACCTCTGCTTTGTCATGTATCAATTCATCACCCAGTGGTGCGGATCCAACCAATCTGTCTGCCTGTTTATTCCCCACCATGTCGGCATGGCCTGGAGAAAAGATCCAAAGTAAAGTATGCTCACCACTGGTGACCTTTCCAGTGAAGCTAGCCACTAACTATCTGCCTAGGAAGTGTGTCAGGTGGCGACAAGGGCGTGGTTGGGAGAGGAAAAGAGGGGGGGGGGTGCTAAGCCTACGGTGTTTTAACTGGGAGAGGAGGGAACTGAAGAAGTCTGAGCCTAACATTTTGCCTAGGCAGCAAGGAGGGCGTGGTTGGGCGTGACACCCCCACCCGCATTTATTTTTAAAATTAGTTTTTTTTTGGGTGTGTGGACCAGTTAAGGAGAATACAACATTTCCGGTGAATTACAACAGGCAATGAAGTTTTTGCTAGAGACAACATTGTAGATACAGTTAATTTATTTCAAGCGAAGGAAAGAACTAGAAGTTAAGGACTCTTCACTCGTGGCCTGTGATTCTAATGAAGTACCTTATAACTCAATGTCTTCGAGAGACAACGAGACAACTTGCTCATTACTCCCCCTCCTCATTCCCCCCCCCCCCCCCCCAATCCGATGAAGAAGAAAAATATTACTCACTGGAAATTTCGTCGCCATCAGCATCATCATCATGTGCCATGCCAAAAGGTATAGGCGATCATGACTCGCCATCCTATATGATCAAGGATCAAGTCAGTGCTCCTGTCCCGCCCTATGATGGCCAAGCTGTCAAGGTGTTCATCATTTTATTTCCACCTGCCCACTTTCAGTCAGTCTTGCCATTAAGTTTTCGAGTCTGTTGTTCGCCATGAAATATACCTTCTGTTATCAAACAAATAGAAAAATGCATCAATACTGTCATGCATCGCCTTTCTTCCTATTACCCACAATATACCCTGGACTGTATTGTTTATCTTCTCTACAGTTGATATTGCTTAATTTCTTTGCTTATTTGAGAAAATTCAGCAATTCCTACGGTTTAAATTTGTTACACTACATAGAGACAGGTACAAACGGTTTATAGAAATATTGTTCTCTCTATCCTCCCTTCCCTCTCTCTCTCTCTCTCTCTCTCTCTCTCTCTCTCTCTCTCTCTCTCTCTCTCTCTCTTGTATGTATGCATGTATGTGAGTGTGTGTTTATGTATGCATGTATGTGAGTGTGTGTTTATGTATGTATGCATGTATGTGAGTGTGTGTTTATGTATGCATGTATGTGAGTGTGTGTTTATGTATGCATGAATGTGAGTGTGTGTTTATGTATGCATGTATGTGAGTGTGTGTTTATGTATGTATGCATGTATGTGAGTGTGTGTTTATGTATGCATGTATGTGAGTGTGTGTTTATGTATGTATGCATGTATGTGAGTGTGTGTTTATGTATGCATGTATGTGAGTGTGTGTTTATGTATGCATGTATGTGAGTGTGTGTTTATGTATGTATGCATGTATGTGAGTGTGTGTTTATGTATGCATGTATGTGAGTGTGTGTTTATGTATGCATGTATGTGAGTGTGTGTTTATGTATGCATGTATGTGAGTGTGTGTTTATGTATGTATGCATGTGAGTGTGTGTTTATGTATGCATGTATGTGAGTGTGTGTTTATGTATGCATGTATGTGAGTGTGTGTTTATGTATGTATGCATGTATGTGAGTGTGTGTTTATGTATGTATGCATGTATGTGAGTGTGTGTTTATGTATGCATGCATGTGAGTGTGTGTTTATGTATGCATGTATGTGAGTGTGTGTTTATGTATGCATGTATGTGAGTGTGTGTTTATGTATGCATGTATGTGAGTGTGTGTTTATGTATGTATGCATGTGTGTGAGTGTGTGTTTATGTATGTATGCATGTGTGTGAGTGTGTGTTTATGTATGTATGCATGTGTGTGAGTGTGTGTTTATGTATGTATGCATGTATGTGAGTGTGTGTTTATGTATGTATGCATGTTTGTGAGTGTGTGTTTATGTATGTATGCATGTATGTGAGTGTGTGTTTATGTATGCATGTATGTGAGTGTGTGTTTATGTATGTATGCATGTATGTGAGTGTGTGTTTATGTATGTATGCATGTATGTGAGTGTGTGTTTATGTATGCATGTATGTGAGTGTGTGTTTATGTATGCATGTATGTGTGTGTTTATGTATGCATGCATGTATGTGAGTGTGTGTTTATGTATGCATGTATGTGAGTGTGTGTTTATGTATGCATGTATGTGAGTGTGTGTTTATGTATGTATGCATGTATGTGAGTGTGTGTTTATGTATGTATGCATGTATGTGAGTGTGTGTTTATGTATGCATGTATGTGAGTGTGTGTTTATGTATGCATGTATGTGAGTGTGTGTTTATGTATGAATGCATGTATGTGAGTGTGTGTTTATGTATGCATGTATGTGAGTGTGTGTTTATGTATGTATGCATGTATGTGAGTGTGTGTTTATGTATGCATGCATGTATGTGAGTGTGTGTTTATATATGCATGCATGTATGTGAGTGTGTGTTTATGTATGCATGCATGTATGTGAGTGTGTGTTTATGTATGCATGCATGTGAGTGTGTGTTTATGTATGTATGCATGTATGTGAGTGTGTGTTTATGTATGCATGCATGTGAGTGTGTGTTTATGTATGTATGCATGTGAGTGTGTGTTTATGTATGTATGTATGTGAGTGTGTGTTTATGTATGCATGTATGTGAGTGTGTGTTTATGTATGCATGCATGTGAGTGTGTGTTTATGTATGCATGTATGTGAGTGTGTGTTTATGTATGTATGCATGTGTGTGAGTGTGTGTTTATGTATGTATGCATGTGTGTGAGTGTGTGTTTATGTATGTATGCATGTATGTGAGTGTGTGTTTATGTATGTATGCATGTTTGTGAGTGTGTGTTTATGTATGTATGCATGTATGTGAGTGTGTGTTTATGTATGCATGTATGTGAGTGTGTGTTTATGTATGTATGCATGTATGTGAGTGTGTGTTTATGTATGTATGCATGTATGTGAGTGTGTGTTTATGTATGCATGTATGTGAGTGTGTGTTTATGTATGCATGTATGTGTGTGTTTATGTATGCATGCATGTATGTGAGTGTGTGTTTATGTATGCATGTATGTGAGTGTGTGTTTATGTATGCATGTATGTGAGTGTGTGTTTATGTATGTATGCATGTATGTGAGTGTGTGTTTATGTATGTATGCATGTATGTGAGTGTGTGTTTATGTATGCATGTATGTGAGTGTGTGTTTATGTATGCATGTATGTGAGTGTGTGTTTATGTATGCATGCATGTATGTGAGTGTGTGTTTATGTATGCATGTATGTGAGTGTGTGTTTATGTATGTATGCATGTATGTGAGTGTGTGTTTATGTATGCATGCATGTATGTGAGTGTGTGTTTATATATGCATGCATGTATGTGAGTGTGTGTTTATGTATGCATGCATGTATGTGAGTGTGTGTTTATGTATGCATGCATGTGAGTGTGTGTTTATGTATGTATGCATGTATGTGAGTGTGTGTTTATGTATGCATGCATGTGAGTGTGTGTTTATGTATGTATGCATGTGAGTGTGTGTTTATGTATGTATGTATGTGAGTGTGTGTTTATGTATGCATGTATGTGAGTGTGTGTTTATGTATGCATGCATGTGAGTGTGTGTTTATGTATGCATGTATGTGAGTGTGTGTTTATGTATGCATGCATGTGAGTGTGTGTTTATGTATGTATGCATGTGAGTGTGTGTTCATGTATGTATGTATGTGAGTGTGTGTTTATGTATGCATGTATGTGAGTGTGTGCTTATGTATGTATGCATGTGAGTGTGTGTTTATGTATGTATGCATGTATGTGAGTGTGTGTTTATGTATGTATGCATGTATGTGAGTGTGTGTTTATGTATGTATGCATGTGAGTGTGTGTTTATGTATGTATGCATGTATGTGAGTGTGTGTTTATGTATGTATGCATGCATGTGAGTGTGTGTTTATGTATGCATGCATGTATGTGAGTGTGTGTTTATGTATGCATGCATGTATGTGAGTGTGTGTTTATGTATGCATGCATGTGAGTGTGTGTTTATGTATGCATGCATGTGTGTGTAAATGTGTGGTTGTTGGCGTTTGTGGTTGTCTGTACATGTGATTGTATGTGTGTGTATGCATGCATGCATGTTTAGGTGTGTAAGTATGGAACGAATGTGTGTGTGCATGTATGTCAATATGTGTGTCTTTTCTGTTTGTGTATGTATGTAGATGCGTGTATGTAGGTATTAGGTATGTCTGTATATGAATGTGCATGTATGAGTATGTAAGAGTATACATACGTGTGTGTGAGTGTGTATGATTGTGTAAAAACGATGTGTGTATGCATTATTCTATAATGCACATTTCTTTATTATATACATAAAATGCATTATTGATAACAGGCATTGGTACTCTGAAAAATGAGTGCTTAGAAGGGCCGAATGTCAGACGGGCCTGCGTGCCCAATTTGTAACCCTTTGAAAAAAAAAGTTTGTTTGTTCGTTCGTTCTCTCTCTCTCACTCTCTTTCTCTCTGTGTGTTTGTGTGTGTGTGTGCGTGTCTGTGTGTGTGTGTGTCCCTCCATCTTTCTGAGTGTCATACTTTATTTCGTTATATCTTTTATTTGTTTCTGTCCCTCTGTCTTTACGTCACAGTATCCGTCTGTCAGTCTTTTCTTCAGCCTCTTTCTGCCCATATCTGTCTATTCCTCTTTCTCCCTCTCTCATCTCCCTTCCTTTCTATCTAGCATAGCTTTCAGTATCCCCTAATGAGGTCAAATGCCTGTTTTGTTTAGCACTAGATATGCACTTAATCGCACTTGACTCTCATCCAGCAGCTCTCGCGATCTGTCTCTCACATTAGCCACCATTCTGTAATATACGACTGGTTGAAACTGTCATTTCCACTTTCAGCTACCCAGACATGCTTGCTCTGAATCTCTGTCCTTTCCACTTTCAGTGAGCAGTTGTTGGGACACGCTTGCTCTGAATCTCTGTCCTTTCCACTTTCAGCGAGCAGTTGCCGAGACATGCTTGTTCTGTTGAAGCTGATAGAGGCGCTAAAGGACCTGATATGTTCTGGGACATTAGATGGCTCAAAGAGCGAGTGAAGAAACTATTACTGTGGAAAAGGTAGGTGTGTCTACTGAAGACTGAACACGCACACACACAAACACACACACACACACACACACACACATTCACACACACACACACACACAGATAAATATAAACAAATAGATACTAAAGTAAAGGACTCTATCTAACGCCTTCAGGCTTGAGTATATAGTGCTAGACCTATATTTTATAGAACTATTGGCAGTTTGTGTGTGATGCGGTCAGCATCACACCGGCCGCCTTTACTTCCCATGATTACACCTGGTACCCACTCAAGGCTGGGTCAACCTGGGAGCCAAGGTCATTTTTGAAAAATGTCTGGCTCCAACAGGACCCGAACCCACGACCTTCCGATCCGCAGGCGGGCGTCTAGCTGCTACGCCACGACGGCTCCCATATATAAAGAATACTTATTGTGAACTGAATGAGAATTCAAACGTATTTTTAACAGTGGCTGTGAGAGTACGCTCGTAAAAATGCTTAGTTTCTTCAGTAATGTTCATAAGATTTTGATGTTGGTAGTTCCGGTAACACATAAATCGGCGTGACGGGCATTGAAGTGGATTCCTTGGATAACGATATCATCGACCGCCTTGCATGGAGGGGGAAATCCGGAAAGAAATAGTGACAACAGAAAAACTGATTGTAGGTATGTGGAGCAGGTCTTGTTCTGTGTTGCGCGGGTATCGCGCTTAGTGACCGGCCACCAGGTAGGCTGCCCTCTCTGGTGGGAGGTAGGGGATTGGGGTTAGTGCCAGTTCTGCATGTTCTGGGACCGTATCGCCGGCAGTTGACAAAGCGCGACACCACTGCAACACAGGACAAGCCCTGCGACCCGGCGATACATAAATGGCAAGGGGGGTCACTCTTTTCTGGGGATGAAAACATAAATTGGACCTATCACTGCTATATTATACTTCGACTAAGGACTGGGCACAACAGACTTCGTCAACATATGTTTATGTAGGAAACACTGAGACGTGTCCCTGCAGCGTGCCACCCAAAAATGCTGAGCATGTGTTCCAACACTGTCAACTGTATGCTGACAACAGAGACGCAATCTTGCCTGTTCCAACCACAATGAAGACACAGCTGTATGGTACACGAGAGGATGTGGACTGCACGATAGATTTCAAAATGGCTACCTGCCTCCTGATATAAGCTTTCTGACAGAAGGATCGAAAAAGAAGAAGAAGAACTGCTATAGCACAATATATCACTGTTATCTGGAAAGACGAACAGATGTTAACTGCATAATTAACCAGTTACATCCTATCAGGATCGAACCTTTCCTTCCCGAATGGCCTCTGACAGCTACAGCTAACGGCACCAGCGATTACTTGGTTGGCATGACTCTGCATTGTTTCATCCTCTCCGTCTTCGTTCTGTCCGTGGCAGCTGCCAGGGCCCTGGTGGTTCTGTTCCGGTTCGCCTGTTACATTTCTTTGCACTACGCTATCTACAAGGGAGAAATCATTGTAAGTAGTGGCCGTTTACGTTTGATTTTAAATTTTAATATAACACATAACATAACCCTTGACCCATTGAGGTCGTGGAAGTGTATTGACGTAAGCACTAGCACATAAAACCTGTCATCTTTCTCTGTCTTCTGCTTGATGAATCAGTGTATGATAACTTAGTCCTGTCCATTTATTGATATTGTCATTCCAGGTTCTTCTTTGCCCTCCTCTTCTTCGACTAACCCTCAATGTTCCTTGAAGTACAGTCTGTGCAAATCAAATCATGTCTTACTATGTGCCCAAACCAAGCTAGCTTGTGACGTTTTACCACTCCCAAGAGAGGCTGTTGATGTCCCGCAAATTTGTTTATTTTGTCTCTGACATATTTATTATATATATTTTTTTTTTTGGTTGTTCTAAATAACTAATTCGTAAAATGTGTGTGTTTACATCCGAAAGCCCGAATCCCCCTTTCCATTTCCACAGTGAGAGTTCAACTCTAACAACCGTATAAGAAAATGTGATCAATTAGGACAAGATGAGCTTTCCTGCTTGGGTTCCCCCCACCCCCCCCCCCCAATCTGGCTCATGATCATCAGTTTTAAGACCCACCCCCCCCCCCCACACACAAAAAACCGTCTTGTTCAACCTTCACTCCCAAAGGGGGAGCTTCAGGTTATAATTGTGACTAGGTTATGTGCGCCATGTAAAATGGCTTAGCATTTTACGTCACCAATAGCCATGAAAAGGAGTCCTGCAGTGTTCATGCTATCACAGGAGGCAGATCCAACAAATGTCGCGATCGGCTACGAAGTCGTCTACCGGCGAGTGTTTGAGCGACCTGGTCGCCGATTATCCTTTAGCTTCGCAGAGCATAAAGTAGGAGCTCTGTAGCTTCAGTGACGACCAATCGATCAGTTTGCGACACAAAAGTGTGCCAACCATAGATTTAAAAAGGAAAAGTCTCATCTTGATTTTCAGAACAGCAGGACAAATTCTAGGTACCCTGTTCTACCTCTGAAGAAGTTATCATCGGGGCACCGAAACCTGTCCAATCAGTCTGAGAAGACCTACATATCCGCGAAGGTTAGGGAGGTAAGTGATAAATGGTACAGCTGCCTAGGATATGAAGGTGTGTGGGCAGACGAAGGAGCAGTTGTCATGTTGAGTAACATTTGACAGTAACGCTGTCGATGAGTGGTCTCGAGGTATGGCGTCCGCCTCGAGTGCTGAAGCTCTTCGGTTCAGGCCCAGGTGAAGGCTGTGATTTTTTTAACGTGGACTTCTAGTCATTTTCCCTAGTCTCTGGGTAGTAAGATCGGACGCCGGTGTGTATTGTTGCGTACGTAAAAAACCGCTTGGCAGGTAAACATCGAAAAGTAAAGCCTAACGGCGCTGCCCAGGCAAAATCTAAAGATAAAAATCTACCCAAAGTTTTTCAGGATCCTCGTCGGTACTACGGAGTTCGTGCACTGCGCTGAGATTCTCTTGACTCAGGCTTGAGTTAAAAGTTGAACGAAGCACTTATTTGTTACCACCCGTGTGCCATGATTTTGATCTGTTGTTTAAAACAGAACAACAGATTTGACAGCAGAAGAAAAGCTGTTTCAAAGGAAAATGCTAACAATGTCTATTATCATCATCATCATCATCGTCATCATAATTATCATCGTCATAATGATCATCTTCGTCATCATCGAATTGTTATCATCACTGCGCATTTAAAAATATGATTGTGGCCCTTAAACCCAACCTTTAGAAACAGAGGGGATGGGGCCATTTTTCATGACGGCTTCCCCGAAAGACAAAGGTGGAAAAAAAAGGTGTAGGGTGGGTGGGGGGGGGGGGGAGGGGCGCCGGGTATTCAATCGTTGCTAAGAGTGAGAGATTTGGGAGCAGAGATAGGCACAGCCCAGAACGAGAATCACACCGGAGAACGCCAGCACAAGACTAGTACTATTAGCCGTGTGACCCTGATGTATAAGTTGAGAGAGGATTAGGAGCAGCAGTGCATGTCTCCAACGGAGTGCCGTGATGGAGGCTCCACTAAAACTCATAACTCCGACAATCTTGGTCTGTTGCCATATCAGATATTGTTATGATCTGTCAGGAATATAGACTAAATATTACCCATCTCATTTCCTTTACAGCCAATTTCCGAAGTCAGCGCC